CGCCGCAGGCGCAGGCGGCTGCGGCGCGGGTTGGTGGTGCGGCTGCTGCAGCGCCTGCAGGCCGCCCGCGAGGGCGGCGCCCGCGGCGGCGACCAGCGACGCGCCGCTGCTGCCGGCGCTGCTGCCGAGCAGGGGTCCGAAGCGCTGCTGCTGCTGCTGCTGCTGCTGCTGCTGCTGGGGCGGCGGCGGCGGCAGTGCTGGCGGCTGCTCGTCCTGCGTGACTGCAGCCTGGTTGCTGTCGCCCCCGGCCGAACCCTCGTGGGGCGGCTGCCGCTCGCTGCTAACCTGGGTCTCCGCAGGCTGATCAGCGGCTGTACCATTGGAAGACGACAAAGCAGTGGCAGCGACCTGAACGTCACCGACTCCGGTCTCCGTCGCTGCCTCATATGCGTCCTCATCTTCTGGCAAGGGGCTTCCGCCCTGCTCCTGTGCAGCGCTGTCATGAGGGACGTGCGCCTGGCTGTCCGCCCGCCCTTGCTGCTGCTCAGACTGTGGCGCCGGGGGCGACCACAGCGGCGGATGCTGCTGCTGCTGCTGCTGCTGCTGCTGCTGTTGGGGTTGCGGTTCAAACAGCTCATCCAGTGTGCGTGCTGCGGGCGCAAAACCAGAACCGGACGAGACGCGTGGGGGACCCAATGAGGAAACACCAGCCAGCGGGGATGAGACGTGCGACTGGCCAAGGGCGGGACCTGCCGCGGCATACGGTGGCCCTGGCAGCTGCGGCGGCCCAAACGACTGGCTGTGCTGCGGGGAAGCGGCGCCTCCTTGGCTTCCCCAAGGCCGAGGGACTGCGTAGCTTCCACTGTCATGCTGCAGGTGCAGTTGCCCGGGGCTGCCCGAGGGCCCGGCTGCGTCTGAGGCCGCTCCCGTCCCCGCGTCTGCTGCGTATGAGCCCTGCGCAGGCGGCCACGCGCCCCCGCCAGAGGAGGCCGGAGCCGGCGGCTGGCGCGGCCGCTGCGGCTGACTCTGCTGCCGCGAGGCGGCTGCAGTGGGGGACGCCGCGGCGGGAGAGCTGGCGCCAGGGTGGTCCCGGAAGGGGATCGAGCTTGCAACTGCGCTGGAGAAGCCGCCGGTAGTGGCGGCAGCGCCGCCAGACGGCGGGGCGGCGGGCCCCTGTGATGTGCAGAGGCGGGTGTGTTGCGAGGCCAGACGCACAAGCGGTGGGCGCAGGTGAGATCGAGAGTCAAAGTTTGAAATGGGAAGTTGCCGCACCCAAGCCATGCAGCAGTGTATGCAGAAGGACAGCCTGTTCGATGGCCTCCTGAGAGGGCGCTTGCGGCCCGATGCGCATGGCCTCACCTTCGAGTAGCTGGGTGAGTTGGCAGAGGGCAATGCGGAGAGGCGTGCCGCGACCGGCGAACCTGCAACCGAAGTGCGAGTGCCCAGGAGCGCCGCCGTTGGAGGCCGAGGCAAGCAATCAGGGGGTTGGTCGCCATGCTCGTACTGGCAATTAATCATCGAGCAACTGCATGATGGCAAGTCTAGCGGCAAAGCGCTGCCGCGAGACTCGCAATTGTGCTGCGGCTTCGAGTGGGCTGCACCGCATTGATGCGGGGTGCACAAGCGCTCTGCAGCGGTAAGGAATCCTGAAACCCTTGCATGTCCACTCTTGCATGCAATTGAGGATGCGTTGCCACCCATACCCGCTTGTGAGGCTGTCTCATTGTGGGTCGCAATGCGTGCGCCATGTGCAGACAGCGGCGCACCTGCCGCAATGTCATCGCCTTGACGCCGTTGTGACACAGAGGATACAGAGGACGACACCGTTCTGTCTACCTTTTCCAATAGTTCTTCCGCAGCTTTGAGCTGCTGTTGCAGCCAACTCGCCATGATCCGCTGATCGGTCGCTGCAGCGGGCGTTGTTGCCCAATCCTTGCGACACGTTTACGGTCCACAAAAGCTAGGAGGAGCAGCACACTGTTACGGTGATGTGCCTCACTGCGCGCTGCACGCACATCGCGTTGAGATCAACTTAGGAATAGCGACCTTCAGCCAGCTAAGGCTGGACTAAGACGATGCAGATAACTTCTTTGATTCTCGTTCACTTGAGGAGATTTGAACGGGCCCGCGCGTACAATTTCTGCTCAGACTTGTTGGGGGGCTGGTTTTGATCATTTGAGCTGATGACGCCTGCGCAGGGCGACCTGACTTGTCCATGGCTGTATGTATCATTTGCAATTGCAGGTTCGCATGCTGCCTGGCTTTGTTTCAGGTTAACGATACAACGTTGCTACTGTGTATGATAACGCACTGGTCGGTGCTCAATGGTGCACCCTAATAATGTACAGCCAGCGCATTGACCAGTGTAAACACTTTGACCGGTGACGTAAATTGTTCAAAGGGAGTGGGTGGATGTTGCAGTACGGTTTGAGAGGCGCAAACATAATTGCTTGAAAGAATGGCCTTGTCTTGAGTCCATGCACAGCTGCCAAAAGCGGCGCAGGTCACCTCGCATCTACACGACACCCGCGGAACAGACTTTTCGCTGGTTATTCTGCCCCCATGAGTAGCAGTACACTTGCTCTTCAGTAACAAGGCGCTTAGTTTGTGAGAAGGGGCACGTACTGCAGAGTAGAGCCGCTCCCGACAGGTGTTTGCGTTGCTCACTGCAGCGCCTGGAACCATGGGGACACACCGTATGGAGGAGGGATACCACTATGCTCTAAGCGAGCATAGGCTGCTGTCAGAGAGGATGTTTGTAAATTCAGACTCCTCTTGAGCGGCGCCGTCCGGGCATGGCCTGGAAACCGCGCTGTGCCCGCTGCCCGCTCGCCACCTGGACGCGCTCGAGGCGCACGCCATATTGTCCCATACCGTTGAGTGCAGACTTTTGATGATGACCGAAGCATCACAGTTTACCCTGAAAACCCCAGGAAACAGCGCCGTTTCATGGAAAGACGGATCAGGTCGCCCTGACCCCAACACGTGTGATGCCTATACTGCAGGTGCACAGAAAATTACATACGCGCATTAATATCATCGTTTTGGCCGCCGCGCGCCCATAATGATCTAGATAAGTAATTTTCTCCTTTCAGCACGGGCCACGCATGCGCCGGGCTGGCGCGCGTGCGTCCATAATGGTGCTCCAAGCCTTGTATCAGAGGAGCAGGCTGGGGCCGGCACAAGGTCCGCAGCCGCTCTACCCGTCACGGCCCAACGCACGCGCTGGTGCCTGGTGAGCATCACCGCTGGCTGCTGCATGGCCATGCAGAGGCACTGCCTCGCTGCATCTCACGGCAACAACGCTTGCACACATTGGCGCTGACAAGCTCCATGTGCCACGTACGCAGGCGCGCTCTTTGGACACGCCCGCGGCTGCTGCAGTCGCCTAGCGCACAGCTGAATGGGGGGCTCGCCGGGCGCATACAAGCCCCTGGGGCAGAGGTGTTGAAGCAGGACCAGGCTGTCCGCAGCGCTTCAAGCACTGGCATGGCCAGCAGCCCGAGGATGGCATCGGCGGCCGGGGGCGGCGGAGGTCGCGGCGCCAGCACGCCTGGCAGCGCGGCTGGCGTATTGACCAATGCGCAGCGACCTCGCATCCACAGCCTTCCACGCAGCAGCCAGGGCGGGCATCAGCTGCCCAGTAGGGTCTGGGGCAGCCAGTACGCCTACTCTGTGGGTGCCGCAGGCGCACGTACGGCGGTGGGCACGTCAGCGTCAGCGGCCCCGCATCCCGCGGCTCCGCACCCGGCAGCCCCTCATCACCCCCAGGCGCCCCTGCACGCGATGCCACCACGGCCGGCGCCCCGGAGGAACCCTCAGGCAGCTCACAACGGCAGCGCACCGCCGGCGCCGCAGGTGCATCTGGCGGCGCACGCCAAACAGCTTGAGCAGCAGACGTCGCGGCAACAGGTCACGGTCAGCAGCAGCAGCGCACTACTTGTGCACGGCCACGGTGGAGGCAGTGCGCCGTCCGTGTGCGCTCCAGCGGACGGGGCTTGGCAGCGGGCGGCGCTTGACGGCGGCAGCAGCGCCTGGGCCCCCGGGCCCCCTGGCGCGACGGGCTTGACCGCCCCTGCAGCAGCTACTGCTCTCAGCGTTGGCCGCAGCCAAACGCTGCGCGATCCCAGCCTGGGGGGAAACATCCCTCCAAGCCGGGGCATGGTCATTCGGGGAGGATTCATGCCAGCGCACGGCTTGGGGGCCGTCAATGGCAGGGGAGGCCTCACCTCAGGTGACAGAAGTGTGCTGGCGCTCAGGCAGGGCGCTGGTGCAGTGGCCCAATCTGCCCCCTGGCAGCAGCAGCACCAGCAGCAGCAGCACCAGCAGCAGCCCCACACTGTACAGCATTTGCCTAGCGGGAACGGGGCTCCCTGGGACAGCTCGCCACAGCAGCAGCAGCAGCAACACTATCAGCAGCAGCAACACTATCAGCACCAGCAGGTGCAGCAGCCGCCAGCACAGCAGCAGCAGCTGCAGCTTGCCTGGAACCACCCTTCACAGCAGCCGCAACAGCCTCCTCCATATCAACAGCAGCAGCAGCAGCAGCCTCAGCGTTCGTGGCAGCAGACGCAGCCCGTGCAGCAGCCTGTGCAGCAGCAGCAGCTGCAGCCGCCGTCGTGGGTGGCCCAACCGCTGCCGGACGGTCATCAGTGGACGGCCCCGCTCGACCCCAACACACCCCACGCCATCTCCCCGAGCGCTGCCGGCGAGCCGTACCCCCAGCCCGCGCCGCCGCCGCCGCCGCCGCCTCCGCAGCTGCTGTCCGCGCCCCCGCTGGACGTGCTCGTTGTCGAGACCGCAGCGCAGGCCAGGGCCGTGGTAGACCAGCTGCTGCGCCTGGCAGAGGACGGCGTCAGGAACCCGGCGACCGGTGCGGTCGAGCAGGCGTACTTTGCATGTGATACGGAGGTTGCAGGGATTGACGTGAAGGAGGAGAGCCCCGTGGGCCACGGCGTGGTGACGTGCTTCTCGGTGTACGCGGGCCCCTGGCTCGACTTTGGGGCCGGCGGCGGCGGCGGCGGCGGTGCCGGGGCCGCAGTGGCGAAGCCGCGGATCTGGGTCGACCTGCTGAAGGGCTGGGAGCGGCGCGCGCGCGCGCGGCAGCAGGCGGAGCGGCGCGTGGCGGACGAGGAGGGGCGCATCGCGGAGCGGCTGCGGGCGGAGGAGGAGGAGGCGCAGCGGGCGGCGGCGGAGGAGCTGCGGGCGGCGGAGGAGGCGAGGAAAGCGCAGGAGGCCGCTGCCAAGGCTGCCGCCAGAGCGGCGGCCAAGGCAGAGGAGGCGGCGGCCAAAGCCGAGGCAAAGGCAGCAGCAAAGGCGGAGGCGAAGGCGAAGGCAGCGGCGGACGCAGCGGCGGAAGCAAAACCGGTGGCAAAGCGGGTCCGGAAGACCCGGGCCAGCGTGGCGCAGGCCGCTGAGGGGCCCGCCGGCGAGGCCTCGACTGAGTCAGCTGCTGCGCCCTCGCGCGTGCCCGGGGACGCGCCGGCCGCGGCCGCGCCAAAGGCGGCGCGCAAGCGGAGGACCAAGGCGGATATCGAGGCGTCGGCGCAGGAGGCAGGGGCCGGGGCGCCGGCTGCGGCAGAGGAGGCGGCAGCGCCGGCTCCCAAGCGGCGGGCGACGCGCAAGAGCAAGAAAGCACTGGAGGCAGCGGCCGATGCGCAGCAACACGCGGTCGAGGCGGCGGTGGCGGCGCCAGCGGAGCCACCAGACCCGAGCGCCGCGCCGGCCGCCGCGCCCAAGCGGCGCGGTCGCAAGCCGAAGAGCAGCTATGTCGCGGCCGCGGCCGAGGACGCGGGCGCCGGCCGCGGCGGCGGCATTGTCGCCGCGTTTTCCCTGGACAGCGACTGGGCCGTCAGCGTCAGCAGCAACGGCAGTGGCGGCAACGGCGTCGCGTGGGGTGCCAACGGTGGCTCTCACAGCGAGGCGGCCCAAGAAGCGGTCTCTGACTGCGCCAGCGGCGTCGGCGGCGCCAGCGCTGCAGGGAGCGGCGCGGCATGGGGGCCCCTGTACCTAGATGAGGGCGAGCCGGAGCTGCCTCCGCCGACGCTGCAGGAGGTCCTGGAAGACAAGGAGGCGGCCGGCATACTGCGGGAGTTTTCGCGGTTCTTCGGGGACGAGCGCGCCAAGAAGGTCGGCGGGATCGCCGCGGCGGGGCGGCGGGGGCGCACGTATGCGCGGGCATGCGCGGCGGGGGCGTGCTGGGGCCGCCGTCAGCGCGGGCGCCTCGCTCTACGCATTCCGTCTGCAGCGGCCTAAGCTCAAGGACTGCTCTGGCTTTTCAATCACCCGCCCACAATTTGCCCACAATCGCCACCACATGCTTCCGGGCGCATGCGCACGTCCCTGATGTTCACCCCGGCGCTGCCTGCCACATGAGCAACGAAACCGGTCACCCTCGCGCAGGTGTGGCACAACTACGGCTTTGACCGACACGTCCTCTCCAACATGGGCGTCCACTGCAAGGGCTTCGGCGGCGACACCCTGCACATGGCACGCCTGCACGACGCCAGCAGGAAGCTGCAGGGCGGCTACTCGTTGGAGGGCCTCTCCTCGGACCGCAAGGTGGCCGCCGCGCGTCACGCATCGTGCAGTGCCTGGTCGACTTCGTTTCTATGCATCAGGCGGGCTCCTCTCTGTCTGCAGCGTGGCCGATGTTTGACCTGGCCACCCCGCTGGCACGTTTTGGAGGCAGGCGCCGATATGGCATTTGTATACCCCTCACAGCCCCACCTACGACCCTCAATGACAAGTGACACATGACGTTCTCTCTTGAATCCGTGCATAACTATCCCAATTGAGCACACACAACGTGTGCACGCACATCTACAAGCACACTGCACAACACGCGCACACACACACAATGCCCACAAGTCGCACAACACTTGATAAACACAACGCCCACACACACACACACGCGCGCGCATGTAGCTGCTGGAGGTGCTGGAGGCAGACCTGCAGGCGGAGGCGCTACTGCCAAAGCGCGGCATGAAGGACCGCTTTGCGCGGCCAAAGCGCAAGGGCGACGGCTCGCCCACCAAGGCGCGCTTCATGCCGCCCATGCACGTCCTGCACACCAGTGAGGCAACGCGGTACGAGTGGGTCGACTACTCCGCCTTGGACGCCAAGGTGTGGGGTGGCCTCGGGGTGGGGGTTTGCGGGGTTGGGCGATTGTGGCGCTATGGGATCGTGAGGGGGTGGGGGTGGCGGGGAGCGTGGTTGCTTCGGTCGTTTTGTGTGCCACACATCAGGTGGTAGGTGAGGGGATTGGCAGGGGTGGAGGAGGATTCAGGGGAGGGACGTCAGCGTGCTGTCGGCAGTCAACGGCGACGAGTTGCGGGACCGCCGAGCAGGATCGTCTGCAGCCGCAGGCTCCCTTCCTCGCTCCGACGCAGCACCCTCCAGGAATTCCCCGCCCGCACTCACCGTCCCGCCGACCTGCACCGCAACCCCCCAGGCCACCTGGAACGTGCACCGCGCCCTCAAGGCCCACCTGGAGGCCCACTATGCCTACATGGATGACTACCTCGCCCACAAACTCGGCCTGGGGCCAGAGCCCCGGCCAAAGGCGGCCCTGCCGGCACCACAGCAGCAGCAGCAGCAGCCGGCGCCCGCACGCGGCCCCCGCCGCAGGGTCCCCGCGGGGCCCGGCGCGGCCCAGCTTGCGAGGCCGGGCGGCGGCAACGGCGGCCTCAACGGGGGCAGGAACGGCGGGCACGTCGTGGGCGCGATGAGCGTGGTCGCGGCGGCGGCGGTGGCGGAGCCGGCTAGGGCCCCGGCTCAGGGCGCGGCGGGGAGCTCGGCGCTGACGCAGATGGACGTGTACAGGCAGTACTGGCTGCCGTTTGGCGAGCTGCTGACAGACATGGAGCAGGCGGGCGTCAGGGTCAACAGGTGCCAGACTGGGTTTGACCAGGGGTTGACCAGGGTTGGACCACAGGCTGTCGCACTTTGCATACAAAATCCTTTCTTTGCATTCCCTTTGCTGGTCTGTGAACAGTGCTGGTACGTGAACAGAGTGTGCAGAATGGCGTCTGACCCTCTCGCATCGTGCGTTGATGATCCGTCTGTCCAGGGAGCACCTGCGCACCCAGGAGGCCCAGGCAAAGCTCGATCAGGCGGCGGCGGAGGCCTACTTCCGCGATTGGGCGCAGGCCAAGGTGCCGGCCGCCAAGTACATGAACATCAGCTCCGGCCTGCAGGTGCGCGGGCGGGGCGGCAGGCGGGGGTTCAGTAAGGGGGTCTGTGCATATGTCGGAGCGTTGTTGGGGGGGATGACGGATGAGCGGTCCAGGGAAGTGTGACTGCAGCCTGGCCGGCACTTTTGAATGTAGGTTAGGACGGGTCAGGGGGTTGACAGCTGTGCGTGGTGCTTCGCGCGGTTGCGACGTCGCCCCCGTGTTCTTCTCCCGCCCAGCATGAGTGCACATGCATACCCGCGCAAGCTTCAGCGCACACGCACGCCGTCATGCGCGCACCCTCGACCGAGGGGCGCCCTCCGTCCCCACCACAATCCCCTGGCGTACAATCCACTCACTATCCACCAGATCCGCCAGCTGCTGTTCCCTGACGCCGTCGAGGACGGCAGCGGCGTGCGCGTGTTCAAGGCGGAGAACCCGGACCACGAGCGCGGCATAGCGGAGGGCTGGAAGCCCAAGCCCCTGCGGTTCGTGGACATGCCGCTGCACGGCATCTGGGGCCAGGGCGTGCCCGGGCGGCTGCAGGTGAGGGGCCGCTGTTTGGGGGAGCGTGAGGCAGGGTACGGGCGGCGGCCGGTACCCTACATCGGGTCGGACGTCTTTGTTCGATGGGCTAGGCCGTGTCTGACGCGCTGCACAGCGGGTGCAAAACGACTTGAGATGAGGGTGTGAGGAGTGCCAGTGGGTAGCACCACAGGTAGCCAAGAGGACGGCCGGCCGGCTGCCCTCACAAACCATCGCAACCGCGCCCCTGGCGCACTGAAGTTCACAGCCGCAAAGCAATCAACAGCGCTCCATGCCGCCCCCACCGCGCCTGCCGTCGCTCGACCTCAACACCACAGCGCAAACAATGTGCCCATGCTCGCCTTCCTCGACCCAACCGCCCCTATTCTCACTGCGTGAGCCCACTCATCCTCTTTGCCCGCGCCCGCCAACGCGCAGGTGGAGGTTACCACCGAAAAGGGATCCCCTGCCGTAAGCACCGCCGTGCTGCGTTCCTTGGCCGGCAAGCCCGGCGCCGCCTTCAAGGCCCTCCAGGAGCTCGACGGCACGGCAGCTGCCGCTGCGGCAGCTTCCCGCGACCTCATCCCCATCGTCGACACGTTTGATGACGAGGGGGGCGACGAGTTTGGCGGGTTTGGGGATGATGCGGCTTCAGCGGCGGACGGCGGCGGCGGTGGTGGCGCGGCGAAGCAGCGGAGGACGAGCAGGCGCAGCCAGACAGCGGCGGCGGGTGAGGGGCAGCAGCAGCAGGGGCAGCAGCAGCAGCAGCAGTGGCAGGCGGAGGACGGCAGGAGCCAGGAGGAGCTTTCGGCGGAGGCGGCGTCCAAGGGGTGGGGCAAGATGTACGCGGCTATGGGTGGCGGCCGGGAGGGGCTGTGGGCGTGCGCAGCCATAGAGAAGCTCTGTGAGGTGAGGGCAAGGGGCGTGGACATGTCGTAGGTTGCGTCACGTTGGTTGGGAATCCTGAGGGGCGGGGTAAACACGGGTGGAGAGCGGGGTTGGAAGGCTGCTGTTTGGGCCAGCGGGCCAGCATTGGGCGGCAGGGGGGCGCGGGCTCAACAACAAGGGTGGCTGGAACGAGCTGCAGGGTTCCCTGCCATGTTGAGCGTCTTTTGGGGGGGGGGGTGGGATGGAGCAACTGCCAATCGGCCTGTGCTAGATTGGAGACTGGTGCACGTTGGAAAGCTCACTGTTGCTGGGATTTGACACAGAGGTACGCCGCAACCACCCCTCCTCTCCCCTGACACCATCCGTTCTGCTCACCACGAACTTCATCGCACCTCACCCGCCACCCCACCCCTTCACCGCACTCCCCTGCCTCCTCCTCACACCGCCAGGTCAGCGCCATCGACAAGCTGCTGTCAGCCTTCATCGTGCCCCTCCAGGGCGATGACATCAGCACGCCCGACGCCGAGCGCGGCGGCCACCGCGTGCACTGCAGCCTCAACCTCAATACGGAGACGGGGCGGCTCAGCGCGCGGCGCCCAAACCTGCAGAACCAGCCGGCGCTGGAGAAGGACCGCTATAAGGTGCGAGGCCGGGTGGGGGTGCAAAGGAGGGGAAGGAAGGCGGGCGCCCCTTCTTGGTGGGGTGGCCGGGGGGTACGGGTATGTCCGAGCACACTGCTGGTGTTTTGAGTGAGAGCCTAATCAGGAGTGCTCGTGACGGTTTCTCATGTGCGGATCCAGGGCCGTGCACAGCTACTGAGACCCCAGCCTCTCTCCCCTCTGCCGGCCTGGCGCAACTCTGCTGCCATGCTGACCTGGCGCATTTACCTTCGCCGGCAGGTCCGCAAGGCGTTCTGCGCGAGCGAGGGCAACACCCTGATCGTGGCGGACTATGGCCAGCTGGAGCTGCGGCTTCTGGCCCACATGGCGAACTGCCAGTCCATGCTGCGCGCATTCGAGCTGGGGGGAGACTTCCACAGCAGGTGGGGGGGGGAGAGCTGGCGGGGCGCATTTGGAATGGCTTTCAGCGTTTGGCGCTCGCGCCTGCCCAGGCCTGGCTGCGAGGGGTGTGTGTGTGTGCGTGTGTGCAGTCCTCATGCAGCCTTGCTGGCACATTTCACGCCAGGGAATGCTGATGTTGCGTGCCCTCAATGCGCACACGTGTGTGCAAACGCCGTCCGCGTCCACACGCACGCACGCCCGCACGCAAATGTGTCCACACGCCCTCCCCCCGTCGTCCCCAGGACTGCCCTGGGCATGTACGACCACATCAAGGCCGCCATTGACAAGGGGGAGTGCCTGCTGGAGTGGGACGGCGGCCCCGACCACGCGCCCTGCCCCGTGCCGCTGCTCAAGGACAAGTTTGCCAGCGAGAGGCGCAAGGCCAAGGTGCGGCGCTGCTTCATGAGGGGGGCGGGCGGGGGCTGCAGGCCGGCCGTGACGCGAGAGTTGGCGATTGCGAGCAGCCTGGGTGACTGACGGTCAGGTGTGCACGTGGGCCTATGTGGGCTCCTGGGCGGTGGTCTTTGGGCTCAAGGGTGGGCACGGAGCGGCTGCTGCGGCGCAGATGTGTCCTCTGTAGGGGTATAGTTGGCCTCCTCCACGACATGTGCTGACGTGCACACTCTGACACACAAGCAAATACACGACGCACACCAACCTTGCATGCACGGATGCATACGCACTCGTCCTTCCCCGCTTGCACACACACACACACACACACACACACACACACACTCCAGGTCCTGAACTTCAGTATCGCGTACGGCAAGACCGCCCACGGCCTCAGCAAGGACTGGGGGGTCAGCCTCAAGGAGGCGGAGGAGACACTGAAGAGGTGGTACGCGGACAGGCCGGAGGTGAGCGCGTCTGTGTGTGTGTGTGGGGAGGGGGTGTCTGCGTCCATGTGTGCATGTGTGTGTGTGTGTGTGTGTGTGTGTGTGTGTGTGTGTGTGTGTGTGTGTGTGTGTGCATGCGCGCCAAGGGGCAAAGAGGAAGGAATGGGTTGTTTGGGGTCGCGGGAGCAAGGTTGCAGAGGGTCCTGGCGTATAGGGCAGGCGTTTGGAGCCTGAGCTGCGCTTGAGGGACAGGCGCACAGGCCGGCCAAGGGGCTCCTGAAAAACGTGTCCCTTAAGTAGTGGCGCACTTGCTGAGAGCATCAGCCGTCGCAGTGTTGCGCCCAGCAAAGGCTGCCCCAGAGTCTACCCCATGGCTCCGCTGTTGAGTGGCCACTCGGATTCCAAGCAGCTGCGGTCGCCCTCCAGAGCAGCCCCCCTGCCCCTCCCCCGCC